TTTATAGGAACACCCTGTTCACTGCGAGTCTAAATTGGCACAATTCTCATTTTGCTCTCCCAAGGCAGTAACAGTATACAAACTTTTATTTACTTTTATTATTAAGTTACAATTGTTATATAAAAGATCTGACTAACTATTTTTAGTTACTCTAATCTTAGCATTATTTTTTTTTAATCTAATTGTATCTACTTGTATCAAGAAGGTGAATTTGTATACCACATGTGATTTTCAAAAAGCTTGTATCTGTTAACTGTTACTAGAGTTCTTATTATATTCTCTTTACTGACTTATCTTTTGTAGTACTTAATGTTTTACTTTTTTTATACTTCCTAGTAAATGCTTTAAAAGTTATTCCTATAGTTAACACACACTAATATATTGATTAATATTGTATAGCTAATAGACTATTTATATATAAAAATATATAATTTTCAATAATTAATAAAAACTATACATGAAATATATTTAACCTTAAAAAAAAAAAAAGGGTTTTTATTTTCAGTCTAAAATCTACTATAAGAACTAAATTATTTATATATACTAAAGTATTGAAGGTATTATATTTTTGAATTGAATAGTATTAAAATAGTTTGATAATAAAAAAATTATAGAAAATAATTTATATAATTAATAATAATAATTATTTTATTTTACTTTATTGTTAACAATAAATAGATTAATTAGATCAAATAGTAAATTAATTTGTTAATTAAAATATTAATAAAAAGACTAATAAATTAATTTAAACAGTTGATTCTTTTTAATAATTTTTTTATTACTAATATAAAGACCAAATTAAATACTTTAACAATATCAAAAGATACAAATCAAAATTTTTTATTATTAATATTTGTAACTTGAAGGATTAAATTGACAATTAAAAGTAGTTTTATAATATTTTGTTCAGAAAGATTAGTATAGTTGAATTCTAACAAGATATTGTTTTTTTTAAGAATTTTAATTAGTTTTTTATTAATCAATTCTATAAATATTTTTTTAATAAAGTTAACAAGAAGGATATATTTAATATTAAATAATTTGTAACTTCAAACTAAGGATTCTAATAATTTGATTTGATTTGATTCTTGATTCTTGAATTTATATTAAATTTAATATATAAGTTATAACTTATTATTATTTTTAATAATGTTTTAAGTCTTATACAAGTCTATAGAAGTCTGTTTGACTAATTTTCAAAATTATACTTTAGACAAGTTTTTTTGAAATTAAAGTAATAATAGTTTGTTTTCATTGTTTAAATATAAAAAATAATTGTAAAATGCAATTAAAGATAATTATTATATAAGCAATTACTTTGTTTTCTAATTTACTAGAACCTTGTTTTTGAAAAGTTTATATATAATTTCTTTGACAATTGAAGATTCAAGAAAAATATATTAACAAATTTTTTTATATAATTTTATTCTTTATACAGTATCTTAAAATATATGGATAATTATTTTTGAAGGTAGATTGGAAATTTTCTGATGTGATTCTAAAATTTATATTATATATATATTGTTTAAAAGTTGGATCCAAAAAATCATATCTAGCATTTTTGTTACCTTAAAAAATAATTACCCATATATAGTCAAACCTGAATATAATGAAGCCTTCAGGCTAATTAATAAAAATTGAAAAAAATTGTTTAAAAATTTGTATAATAAAATTCTCTTTTTATAATGAATTTTGAGTAAATTCAAAATTCAAAAATTCATTATAACCAGCATTTTATTATAGCTTCATTATAAACAGGTTTGTTATATCCAGGTTTGACTGTATAATGAATTCTCTCTAAATGTATATTTCTCAGGATCATAAAATTTTTTTTGAAAAATGTACATTTATAAAGATAATTTTATTAAGAGTTCTATGTACTTGAAACCAAACTTGATCATTTATTTAGAGAGAGAAAACATAGTAAGTGCATTTATAAAAAGTGCACTTAGAAAGGTCTCTCTGTATATTTATATTATATTTATTTTGTTATTGATTTATAAATTTTAATTTTTTTTTTGTTTAATCCATGCAAAAACCAGATTGTCTGATCACGGTGTTGTGGAATAGGTTAGCAATTATTAATCGACGAAATTTCATACAAATCAAGCAAAAAGTCAAGCATTTAATTATCCATTATAATGACATCAGAAATACACTGAAAAAGCTTTGAACTTATTTTTTAAGCATTTATATTGTTTTGAAAAGATTGTAGTTAGGATTTTGGAGGATACATGAATGACAATCTCTTATCAAATAAAGAAAATTGTGGTTGCTGAGATCTCTGTGATTCATACCACACAGTGCTCTGAACGTTTTTCTCGTTCAATTTTCCTAGGTTATTATTTTTTGATACCGAAGATTCAACCTTCTGTTCTCCCCATACTTTCCCTTCATCCATTTCTTGATCAGACATATCACCCTTTTCTTTGTCCAAAATCGGATGTTTTTTACCGAAGAATGTTCCCCTTAATGAAGATGAAGCCGACAATGCGTTCATAGAATTTAATTGATTTATATTCGATGAAGATGTGGTTAGAGTAGAAAAAGGTGATGAAGTAAACATTGACATCGATGAAGACGCATTGTTTGCGGCAGATATTGGGGGTGGTGGTGAAATCACTGACTGATGTCGTTCAGGTATAGTTGGTGAAGAGTTAGACGTTGAAGCAAAAGTGAGTGAAGAATTTTTTGATGATGGCAGCTTGCTGTGACTATTTTTGGGAGAGGTCGGTGGGGTAAATTGAATAGAGAGACCAGATCCGAAAGGTGAGTACCATTGGCGGTTTGTAACATTCATCACAGAAGCGGTGGGGGCGGGTGTTGTAATCTTAACCTCATTTGATAACAACGAATTCATTGTCTGAGGAACTCTCGTTGTGACTGAAGAATTCCGATTATGAGGAGAAATTACATCAGCATAGGAAGTAAACTTTGTGATAGGGGTATTGGCATTCGATTGATCAATCAGATGGGTATTTTGTGTTGAGATTTCAGTATGAGGTGACGCAAGTATTTCTGATCTACGGAATACAATCGTATTTTTGTTCAACTCTGCTTTTGCGGGAATAGTTGTGGCGTTCGAAGGTTGTTGGTAGATAGGGCCATTATTACGTTTATTGACGGAAGGAAAATAAGTTGATTGATCAGAACGCTGATGCGATCGTTGTTGTGATTGAAATTGTACAGCATCAATGTTTTGATTCGTTGACTTTTGCCAATTTGTTTTTGAATCTCCAATTTGAAGGGATTTGTTCAATTCATTCGGTTGTTGTTGCTGCGCGAGATTTTGTACATGCAATTGTTTCTGCGAAGGAGGGAATGACATTGACCGAATTGAATCACTAGATTTGCGCGATCTAGTTAACTCGTTAACCTTATGTTCATGTTTCGGTGTTTGTTCATGTTTTGATGATTTTTGTTCAGGGCGTTGCTGTTCTCGTGAATTTTGTTGGTTGTTATTTTTAGAACTCCTGGTTCTCCTTCTTCGTCTCCTGTGCCCGGGTTTTACAAAATTTTCATCCTCTTGAGTTGAATCTTGAAAATTTTTTTCTATAACAGGAGTTTCTAAAGAATTTCGGCGATTTACGTTACGATCTGATTGATATCCTTCATCGCTTTCTTGATCGACAAAAACGGTCTGATCCTTTTGACGTGAATTTTGCCTCCGATGTTCCTTTAATCGAGTATTTGAGTTCTTTTTATACAATATTGGTGATACATCGTGAGTTGATGAAATGGATGGTGATGTCATCATGTCCAAGGCTATCCGTCTATTATTCTCATCTCCGTTTGAGACAGAGTTTCTATTCCATGAATCAATATGTTCTTGTGCATGTTCCGGAGAAAATTTGTGGATACCTGATTGGGAATCATTCGCATCCAAATGACTGTCGGAAATATTTTCTATCTGGAAATTATTTTCTCGAGGACCATCACCATTTATCACCTGTTCAGTCCGAGGATCTACAACATTAATTGTTACAGTCGTTTTTGTTTCGTCCGGTTCTGCACATGAGGAAGGTCGTTCGATCGGCGAATCACTAATTGAAGAAGCTATAGATTGATTATCTTCTATTACTGAAAGTGTATTGATGGGTGGAATTTGCGCTTGCGCTTTTTGACGCGAATTCGAACGCCTTTGGGGTGTCAACTGAGAGTTTGATGTCTTTTTATATAATCTCGGAGATCCTGTGTGCGTTGGTAGTACGGACGGTGACAGCGATGTAGATGACGAAGAGGACGTGTCTGGAGACAAGCGTCTACTCTTTTCGTCCCTACTTGAAATTGTCGTGGTGTCTTGACGCGACCTCGACCATCCATTAAACACCCTACGAGTTGTATCGCCGATGGATCCAGCCATGAACAATCTAAGTTTTTCGCTCAGTTGCTGGGAATTAGGTTTCCAGCTAGGCTTGCTTACATTCTTATTAAAGGAAACAAATCGAAATATGTTAGCTAATAGTGTAACTAAAAAACTCTCTTTGTTGCGCAGGTATTTTGGTTCCGATAAGATGTAGACATCATATTCATTATTCATTTTCCAATGTCATTGCATTTTGATTTTCTCTCAACATTATGCTCATCTCATAAAGAAGAAAAATTTTGCGCAACCGACATAGGATTATCCAAAAAATGTAATAGCAAGAAATCGCATGCCACACGGATAGATTTATTAATTTGTATATATGAATCAAGATTTCGACGATCCATAAATGCGTGTATAGCCTTTCTCATATAAATTAGATAATCGTAAGATAATTTACGATCTTACACACAACACCAGACTAAATGCCCAGTAGAATGGCAAGAACATACCTTATGTACAAATGCCAGAGCGAATCCCAAGATTGCCACGACGATCAACACGTAGGCGACCGAGGAGAAAGACACTGTGGGTATGGATGAGTTAAAAAGATTCCATACAGCATATACAGATTTGTTTGAATGGAAATGACTCGAGGGGTGCGTAGGAGGAATCGACGCAATATTCGAGTTATAGTTGTCTTTTGTAGGGGAAGCCATTGTATGGCTTACCAAATCAAAATGTATGCTAGTCGGCTTTGAGATATGAAAAAAAAAATTTTTTTGTCGTTTTTCAGGTATAAATAATATTGATGAAAAAAAAAAAGAAAGTGAAAACTGCTACCAAAGAAGGGAAAAAAGGGAATATACATATTGTACTGATTTCATTTGAAAACTTAAGATCACGAGGATCAGATCATCAGAGTCAAGTGACTCAATATAGTGGTCAATAAATTTTACATATACTTGGGAGGATCAAATGCTTATATTAAATAACAAAAATAAATGAAAAAAAAAACATTGAGACGAAATGAAAAAAAAAAACATCTCGACGAAATAAAAAAATATTTATTAATAAAATAAAATTTTTGAATAATCATTTAATTCAAAAATTTAAAGAACAAATAGTGTAAAATTATTTTTGAATTAAATAATATTAGGTAGATTTGATATTCAGTTTCACCAAGACAATAATAGCAATAAAAAAATATATTTAATAGACCTAACTGATCATCGTTGCTAAAATATTTATATTATAGTTTATCTTCATGTTTAGAAGTCGAATTCTCTCTTTTTTCTATTGTTCACCAAAAACATTTAATTCGAACGAATACGAGTCTAAATTTAATTTTTTTTATCGGAATTTTTCGTCAACAATGGCTTCACCATCAAAATTTAAAATTTCTTGTATTCAATTAGCCGTTTCTTCGGACAAATCGTTAAATCTTCAGAATGCTAAGAATAAAATTTTAGAAGCTTCGAAAAATGGGGCAAAGCTTGTTGTATTACCGGTAATTTTCGACAAAAAGTTTTCAGGTGTTTATCTGACGTACAATAATTAGATCTATAAGTTTTTTTAAAAAAAAATTGAAGGAATGTTTCAACTCAACTTACGGGGTACAATATTTCGATCGTTTTGCCGAGTGTATTCCTAATGGGGAGAGTGTAAAGACCCTATCGGCAGCGGCAAAGGTAATTGACACTTGGACAATCTTGCTCTTTTCCCCATAATCATCTAATCATTCTAACTTTTTAAAGGAGGCTAATGTCTATCTTATTGGAGGTACAAAATTTTTCGTTATGTCATCTAAAAAAATTGTTGATGGTTACACGTGTTATTCTTAGGGTCTATCCCTGAACGTGAGGAACCTTCAGGAAAATTATACAATACTTGTACTGTTTACGATCCAGAAGGTAAGTTTATTTTTAACAAAGAAATTATCTTTTCAGTAATTTTATTTACATAATCTTTTATTTAGGAAATTTGATTGCGAAGCATCGTAAAGTTCACCTGTTTGACATTGATATTCCTGGCAAGATTACCTTCCAAGAGAGTGCGACCTTAAATTCAGGAAATTCTTTGACATGCTTTGATACTGGTTAGATGCTGACATTAATTTGTTATTTATTATGCTATTTGTTGATTATGATTTGAATAACACCTTACTACCCAATAGAATACGGTAAGATCGGTGTAGGGATATGTTATGATATTAGATTCCCGGAGATGGCCATGATCGCCGCTCGAAGAGGTTGTTAAAGCTTTTATTGATATTTGGATTTTGTTATAAAAGTATTGATCACGTGGTTTCTGCGCATTTAAGGTTGTATTGCAATGGTTTACCCAGGTGCTTTTAATCTTACCACTGGACCTTTGCACTGGGAGCGTAAGTCTGAATGCTAGAATTTATGCTCTACTATTTTTTTTTTATCTGATTATGTCCAACTTTTTATTAAATTCTTTGACGTTTATGGGATATAGTTCTTCAAAGAGCTAGAGCCGTAGATAATCAGGTAATAAGTGATGTCGTCACATTATAATATCGTTGGAAAGAGCATTGTTACTAACCTTATGTATCAAGTTTTACGTGGCTACATGTTCTCCTGCTCGAGACACGAGTGCATCTTATATTGCATGGGGATATTCCACTATTGTGGATCCGAAGTAAGTGATTTTATTTTAAAATTTTATTAGGATCATTCTCAATATGATTTTTTTAGTGGTCAAATTCTCGCGACGACGGATCATAAAGAGGATATTATTTACGCTGACATAGGTATATTCTTCGATCGACTTCTCAGTTGAGAATTCCAATAAAGATATTCCATGTGACTTCATCTTTTGCATATTTCGCAGATTTAGAACATTTGAAAACAGTTCGACAATCTATTCCGATATACAACCAAAGACGATTTGATTTATATCCTAATGTTGCAGAAAACTTCAAGGAATAGATGTGGTGGTATGCAATTTTCTGTGTAAAAATTCAAAGATTTTTTATTTTTTATTAGGGATATTTTTTATTATCTTAAATTTTTTCGAAAATTTGTTTTTATGACGTTTTTAACCTTTAACCAATCTTGGAATTTAACAATACAAATAAAGCACTAGTTAGAGTATCACTAATTTTGAACATGAGGCAAGCTAAAAATGGAATTATTACCGTAGACCGCTCCATACAACAACCTCCCCTGAATAGTACCCTTCCCGATTTTTAATAGTACTTTGCTTTTGTTTACTAAGTAACTTTCGGGTGGAATAATTAATACCCAGGGTACTGTATGCAGTGGTTCATCCTTTATAAATTTCTGAAATAGCGTATTTTTTCGATTTTATAATCATGATTTTTGTATGATTACTTGATGATACAAGGTTCGACGTAATGCTTCGATGGCATACATTGATGTTAAAGAAGGTGGATGCTTATTTCATTCCTTGATGGTAGTCATAAGGTTGGGAAATTCATCACCAATAATTTCCATTTCATATTACACAGTGAATCCCGTTAAACCGAAGTGGCCGGGACTATTAGTAAAATTTTTTGAAAAATTCGGTTTAGAGGGTTTACCTAGTAAATTCGGTTTAACAAGGTAATTTACAATATATCAGTTTTTGAATAAACTTCGGTTTAATAGGATTTTAATTAGTACTTCGGTTTAACAGGGTTAGGATTAACGGGATTGACTATGTAGTGTGTAAAGCTTTATTTAAAGATAATTCAAAACAATCTTATTTGTTTATATTTAATTCTATTTCGCTAATTCAGATGAATTTTCATGTCTTGTTATATGAGGAATTACGTCTTGTAATGATCCTGAAATAGCTCGTCTATTTTTATTAACCTCAACCCTTTTTAATAAAAATTACAAAAAGAAAAAAAGACCATTAATAAAATCAAATTAAAGTTTGTACATCAAAATTTTAAATCTAATGTAATCTATAATACAGTCAAACATTTGGAAATCGGCATTG